GGAACAACAGTAGTAACAGCAAAGGCGTTCATGAAGTTGGTGAATGCAAGAACGGCTGTACTGGCGTTCTGAGGCATGAGGTAGTGCTCGTGCTCCTTGATCGGATCAGATGACTCTCTTACAGAAGCACCAATGACAGCAATCACAGTAACAAAGGCAGCAGTGATACCAATGAAGGAAACGAAAGCTACCTCCTTCATAGTGGGCAACATAGCCAATGGTAACATAACACATACGAATATGACACACCACCAAATACGGTCTAGTTGGGGGACCAACTCGTACATACCATCACCGACTAGAATGACAAGTAGAGAACATACCAGAAGTAAATCCAGATACTGGACGAATGCGGTGAAGATCTCACCGGGTTTACCGAAACATGCTTTACCAATGGCTTGAAAAGAGTCGAACCTTTCCTCACCTTTGGGGTGCATGTACATACAACGATAAAGCAAATACGTTCCATATTGAGCAACACTCCATGCTACTGCGAGTAGAACACTGCCTAGGATCCAACCACCTTGGGCGATAGCACGTGGTAAAGCAAGAATACCAACACCGACAGCGACTAGAGCGAAGTTGATGACGGTACGGAAGTTGGACGAACCGTCGGGACGACCGCCAGTCGTAACGGAGTCGGCACTAAAATCACTGATTCTAGTGGAAATGCTGGACTTCTCAGACATACGAAGAAATCGAGAGAAGAGATAAAACGACTACATCATGAGTAAATCTCACAACACAAGCAGTTTCCCATCAACTGAGCTCTGACTACGTACGCACTACAAAGGTCTTACTAATCACCGACAATTTCCAATAGGCTGTTCCCAACAAGGACAACATGAAGTATACTCGATGATTTTGAGAGCAAGTATACAATACGTTGAATGAATTGTACTAATCGAATCGACGGAGGAAACCTCACAACTTACCCCTTTTATCAACGACGAAAACAGGTAACAAAATACTAATCCTCCGACACCTTTAGACAACACCTGAATGAAATCCCCCTAAACCTGGCCAACTCTAACAGGAGTCAAGAGACAGGATCACAATAACACAGGCTAGGAGGAAAAGCGTCATTGAGGAAGACTTGCACAAGGGACACAGCTCTGTGCATCGCTCCGCTTAAATCTTGATGCATGTCTGCCATTTTCAGCCGCACGTCACGAGATGAAGAGCTCAATCTCAATCTTGTCATCAGTCAATCATTGTGCCTATGAGGGACAAGCCGAGAATGAAGCGGACCTCTTCCTCGCCAAGCCTTCCTTCGTCCGAAGACCCGCCTATAGGTAGTAGCGGGTGTGAGTAGCGTAAAAGTTTATGTATCAACCAAGATTCGATCCTGGGGTCTTTTGCATGGCAGGCGTCCAGCACTGCCGATTAGACTAAAACATACTACGATATGCAGTATCATATGACTCCCGCTCTAACACTACGCGTCTCAGATCCTACCAATGACTACGAAGTTTTCTGAATTCTCCACTGCTCACGTACC